TTGTTGAGCCGGGTCAGTCTTGGGACAAGAACATCACGCTCAGGAAAGTAGATGGTCAGCAAAGTTGGAGGAGACCCTTAGCAAGAGGGATTGTAGAGTAACTGACAGTGGGATCGAGTATGTCAGAGATGGTCAGGGTGACAGGACAGGGCAGGGTTCAGATCTGTTGTTCTTGGGGTCACTCTGAACAGTAGTTAACTTGTGGCACAGGACAAGTCATTTAGTGTCTCTGGGTCGTCTCTGGGTCTTGTCTTCAGAGAAAATAAAGGTAATGATGTTAGCAATACCTAAGAAAGGGATGATGTTTGAGTTGGGCCTAAATGTGAAAATGGACAGGGCTGGTTCTCAGGACCATTTACAGGTGAGGCGCGAGGAGGAGGGTCGGAAGGAAATGAATGGAGTGTCCCCTTGGCCTGATAGCAGACAAGGTGAGCAGAACGAGGCCGCCCTTGAGCCAGAAGGCAGAGCCTCATAAACATCCCACAGACATTGGGCCTGGACATCCACTGTGTTTATTAACCATCTTGATAAAAATGCCATGTCTGCATTGATGGTACTCGCCAATGATCCCTAACTGCACAAGAGGAAACTGTAGAAACAATGATTGTATAAGGGGAACAGTAATATCAGCTCATCTTCATGAAAAGAGGGGCAGTAATGAAATGGCATTTACCTGACTGAGGACAATGAGATGCACCTAGACAAGTCTGGTGTGGTCGGGCACGAAAAATCACAAACAAGGCTCAGAACAAACTCCTCACAGCACAGTTCCGCTCCTGGCCTTTCTGTGCCGGGTGAGGGGAGTGCTGGTGGCCTAGTGGGTGAGCAGTGGTGGTGTCAGTTCAAAGGCTGGCGGTTCTAATCTAGCAGCTGCTCTGAGGAAGAAGGATGAGCAGTCTCCTCCTGTACAGTTTTCTGCCTCTGAAAACCCGCTGGAGGGTCAGCTAGGAGTCGGTTCCGACCCGAGGACACACACAGCAGCAGCTCTATGAGAGGACGTGAATGGTCGGCCTGGAAGGAAGGCAGCACTGACATGGTCCAGGTGAGGGACTGAGGCCCAGGTGTGACTGACAAGGTCTGTGAAGGTGGACCCTGCACCATGGCCGAGGTTGCCGATCAGTCTGAGAGCCAGAAGGTCCCCCACAAGGCAGCAGGCTGAACACTCTTCACGTCCTCAGCTCCCGAGCTACGGCACCTGACCCTCCCTGATTATGTCGCCTCCATGCCTCTGTCGTAGTGCAGTAGTTGGTGCATTTCTGAGATGTTGGATGCTGTCACACACATTTCAGATAACAGCAGGGGCACTCAAGGTGGCCATGTTTGAGCTTAGGTTCCAGACTCGGACACACTAGGAAGAAAAATCAGGTGCTCAGCTTCCAAGAATTAGCCAGTTATAACCCTGTGGCTCTTTGGAAGCAGGAGTGGCATCCACTTTCTAAACAACATGCCTCTGGAAACTAAGAACTTTGATAAATGTTGATAGTTGTAGAGGGGCTTCAGGCCTTTAGTTCATAAAGTTGTTATGAGTCATGTTCGACTTGAAGACAGTCAACAACCACCATCACCCTGTGGTTCCAACAGACACATGTGAGGCTGAGACGATGTTAGGTGCCCCTGAGTCAGCTCTCACCCACGGTGAGTCCATAGACAACAGAATGATGTCAGAGGCACAGAGCCACGTCCTGCCTGGCCCTACTCCATCCTTCACCTTCTTCCCACAGGATGCGTAAGCCCATCGCCACACCCATCATCAGCCATCAGTCCAGCCGGCTCTTTAAGAGTCGTCTTTTTCGCTGACCACTTTTCCAGGCATGACAACGTGCACATAGTCTGTGAGATGAAGTCCCACCATCCTTGCGTGTAAGGAGCACTCTGGTTGTACTTCCTCCAGGACAGATTTGTCTGTTCTTTTGGTAGCCCGCGGGATATTTAATACTCTTCAGCACCACAATTCAAAGGCATCAGTTTTTCTTCTCTTTTCCTTATTCATTGTCCAGCTTTCACATGTATATGAAACATCATCTGATACAGGCACATAGTTTCAAAGGGGAAGACTCTTTCCTAAAGAGCATATCATGTTTTGGAAAGTGGAGAGTCAATAAAAATAGGAGAAAGCCTCAATGGGATGGCTTGCCCCCAGCCATCAGGATGGACTACAGCCGGCCACGTCCTGGGGCCAGTGCAGAGCCAGGCCACGTTCACATGGAAGGTTAGCATGAGCAGGAGGGCCCTTGAAGCTGACTACCAACAGTTTATAGGATCCGCTGCTTATAACCTGAACCATGGCCTAAACCAGGAGTTGATGATTTGCCTAATGCTGCTTCTCCACTTTCAGCTTTAAACCCTCAACAGTCAACACTTACTATCAGTAACTACAAACTGAAGCAGAAGCGTCTCCTTATCTCAGACTCTGGCCTCAGTTTCAAACTCTGCCAGGTTGGCCTGAGGAACCACAGGCAGCACTCAGGAATCATGAGTATTCGTATAACTCAGAGAAGACACTTGGAAATATCAACAGTTGCTACTCACAAGACTTCTGAGGATTAACATAAAACTTTAAAAGATAAAGCTACTGGATGTGAATAATAGAACTAGAGCTTCCCCATTAGGATTTGATAGACACTTAAACCCCCCTTAAGAATGCCCTGGGACTTATCACTGTTTCTCTGATTGCCTTCCTCTCAGAGAGCCCTGTAGATGGGCCAGAGCCGGGGTGGCTGCCTGTGGGTTGGCCATTAGTCAGGTCAGTGGGTCAGCCCAGGAGGAGGGAAGGTTGAATCACAATGCAGGTGGCTTAGGTCCTTTTCTCCCTTTCAGAGCTCTCTCCCCAGGAAGGCTGGGCCCCTCTCGGTCACAGTCACCTTGGGCGCTGTGTGTCATGGTGGCTATGTGCTGGGCAACTCCAACATGTACTGTTGCCCTTTGTACACTCGGCACCTCCCGGGGGCCAGCCCCTATCCTGGACAGGACAGTCCTCCCTTCTCGGGTCTGTCCTCATCGTTCCCATCCTCCCGGGAAATCTACCTGATGGAGATCAGACTCATATCTACATGAGTTGCAGGTCAATGCCAGGCATTTCCTGCAGACCATCCCCCCCTTTACCTAAGTGGAAGAACTGGAAGATAGACCATTTTAGCATTTGACTAAATGAAGTATCTCAACATTCTTCAAATGGTCATCGGTGTTCCGCTGAGAAATCTCTGCATCATCTCTGACCTTCAGCATTCAGTGAGCCGCAGAGCCTCTTGAATTCTCACACCCCCAGGGACTGCAGCTGCTGGTGGGACTGGTGATAACCCCACATTTCCTCTCAGACCCATGCTGCCATGGATATGTGTCCAACACTGAGCCATGTATGTGTGAATCCCCAGGCTGCGTGGTGGGGACATATGCATAGGATACATGCTCTGCTTTTATTTAAACTGTTCCCTTGTCTCATAAAATGCACGTGCTCTCATGTCCAAGATTCCCAGATGACAGCAAACTCAGGGCATGAACTCAGCGTCATTCTGTGTTCAAATGTAAGGCCCTATCTCCAAACTAGAGGACTCCTACCTGACCCAAGGTGAGGACAAGGGTGCCCTTCATCCAGAGTCCCTATTGGGTACTTCATTGCTCTTCAAAGACTCCCAGACACCTGCTAGGTGATAACTTTACTCGACAAGTGAATGGACCATTTTGGTCACACACAAAACCTGTCAGATCAACACAGGAAGCCCAGGCAACTCCCAGTTGTTTTAGCAAAGTAGTAATACTAAATATGCAATGTTGGCTAGGCAGGTCCTAGAGAGGCTCCCGAGTGTGTAAGCCATAAAGCCATTAAGCCATTCTAGAATCTTTAAGAACAGAAAAACTGAAAGCAATTGCAAAATGAGGTAAAGAAAATGAGATGAGATTCGTGATTAGGGTTAGGGACAGGCGTGGAGGGAGGGGAAGGGTTGGTGGATGTGGTTCTAAAACAACAACATGAGAGGCTCTTGTGGAGAATGAGCTGTCTGTATCTTGATTGTGGTGTGAATACAGGAACCTTCACGTGGTGATAAAACTGCTGAGTATGAAATATGCACACTCACCGCCAAATCAGTGTATTTCACTGCAGTGAAATTAGAGTGAGATTAGTAGGTTGGATCAGCACAAAAGTTCTGGTTATGATGCTGCACTAGCCAACGATATTATCCTTGCGGAAACAGGCTAAAGGACACCTGAGATTTCTGTATCGTTTCTTATAGCAGTATGTGACACTAATTATCTCAAAAGAGTTTCATTTTTAAAAATTGGATAGACGAACTGACCCTATGACTAGGCAAAAAAAAAATGCTAAAATAATAATAGATAACAGTTTGCTAAATACTTTACAATGAACTATGCCCATTATACTTTCCTTAATGATAATAAACTTTATATGTATTTGTATTATAAAAATGTTAGAAGTAGAGACAGGCTATCTGGGGCTGAGGATGGGTCAGGGCCTTGGAAGACGGGAGTCTGCAGGCACTTGGATGCTTAAGCTTCACTGGCTTTGGGGTTAGGGCATCTCTGTAGGGTCGAAGAGGCAGTGTTGTACTTTCTGCACACGGTGTGCTCCCATAAATAACACACGTATAATAAAGTATCCCCAGAAGACTGACGCACAAGGGCTTGAAAAACCATACATGATGCACATTATATGTGCGTAAATACGGTAGGCCTACAAAGGATGAGGCATAGCAGAGACGCAAAGCATTGTGGAAGCTGTGATGAAATGAGCTCTTCCAGGAGGGTCTCTCTTAACCACCAGAAAGGTAGCTTGTCCTCAGGCCATGCAAATGGTAGGCCCCACGCTGCTCACTGCAAGTCAGCAGTTCAGCTGACCCAGCACCTTCAAGAAGGAAAGACCTGGGAAATTGCTCCCAGTAAGACCACAGCCCTGTGAAGTCCCACTCTGTGACACACAAGTCGAATCAACGTGACAGCGCCCAGCAGGCAGGAAGCTTACCTCCAGAGAAGCACAGGACACTCACCCACATAGACAGCTGGGCTCCACACACTCCACTGCCCCGTCTCCCTGCACACAAAGCTCACTTCTGCTCTCACTTGAACGGAATACTTCGAAAGGTCATCAACTACAGAGGTGAATGTGTTGACCTTCATTTGTTCTGTCTAAATGGAAGAAAATTAGCATTATGAGAATCTGTAGAGACACAAGTGACACGATAACAATGATCAAAATGGGAGGTCCCGCACAGGCAAAGTGAATCACTGTTCAGCGGTCAATTGAAAATCAATAATACACACAGTGATCAGTTTATTTTAAACTGCTTCAATATGGATGTGTTGCCAGCCATGCTTCAGAGAGAAGCTTTTCTGTGACAAAAATAGATACTGTGGTGAATTGCGGGCCACAGAGGATCCATCTGGGCTTGAGGGAAGGTTTCCGATTGAAAGACTGGAGAACAGTTAGCAGGGCATTATCCACACTCGGCCTCTCCGTCCTCCAGGGCCTGTTCCTAAGAACATCACAGGGTGCCTGGTGTCCAGCAGTTTGTAAACCAGCTTGTGAGCTAATGTCAGCCTGCTACCTCTTTTTATGGAGTCCATAAATATGGTTGGGGTTGGTTGGTTTCATTTTTTAATGGTTGGAACAAAATCTAAGCAGGATAATATTTCCTGACACATGAAAGCGACATAGAATTAAAATTTCAGTGTCAGTACTAAAGCATTACTGCGGCACAGTCGGGCTTATACGTTTGAGCATCGTCGACACAACTTTCCCTCCGAACTGCCAGAGCTGGTATTAGCATCGAAGCCGTACATAAAGCCTAAAAGATTTCTGATCTGGCCTCATGACAGCAGCCAAGCCCTGCTGTTCAGGAATGTCTCAGACAACAGAGCTGTGGGGAGAGGAGGGACAGCATGAAGGTGGGAAGACCACAGACTCTGAATCTAGGAAGTGTGGCATTGGGATCCCAGCTCTGCTTCCAACAACATGGCAAGTACCTTCATTCCCTGAGCTTCTGTTATCTCATCTGTGAGCTAGGACAACAACAGCTAAGCCAGGGGTTATTGAACAAATTAAATGCATTCTGTAAATTCGAAACTTAAAGACACGTTATTTTGAGCCCTGTAGGTAATTGCCAATAAGCAAAACCAGCAGTTGTGAATGGTTCAACTCAACGATGCGAACTCAGTGGTGGTTGACCAGAACTTGGGCTCCAGTGTTGACTTGTAGCTGTTTCCTCATGAATGAGCCTTTTCTCCTGAATTCTCTATACTGACCAACACCCTGTACCCCAAACCAGGAATGGGTCCCTGACATGTGAGTCCCATACCCTCTTTGTCTACATCCCTTATCGCCATCCAGGAGTCACTCTCAGTGCCGAATTTCATTTGGGATATGAGTAGCTATTAAAGGGAGCTCTGGTGGCCTAGAGGCAAGAAGCTGTGCTGCAATCCCAAAGGCACATGGTTTGAGACCATCGGCCACTCTGTGGGAGAAGGATGGGCAGTCTCCTCCCGTGAGATTAATTATCTCTGAAAACCCACCAGAAGGTCAGCTGCGAGTCGGTTCTGACTCAATGGTACACAACAATGGTAGCCGTTAATGGACGTACCCGTGCCTTCATGCCCCTCCTCCCCCACATCCAGACTTTACTTCCAAAATTGCCCTTCAGTTCTAGTCATATTTCTCTATCCCTTAAGATTCTTCAGTTACTTTCACACCTATGGTTGTCCTTTCTCAAAAGGAAACCCGATTTCTTGATCTGATAAAAGCTTACAAAATCACACTGGGAGAAGTTGGGCTGTATGACCTCGAATTAGGACCCCCTGTTGGCTATTCGACTCGAGGAGCCAAGATTCCCTCCACCCCAGTGTGGAGCTCAGCCCAGCAAAGGTCAGGTGATGTGTCTGCTCAGGCCGTGACAAGGACAGAAATGGAAATAATAGTCTAGAAACATTTCTAGCGATTTCACATCACCAGGATACCCAACCACATGATTGTTTCCTGGGCTTAGATTTTACATGCCCTTGGTTAGGTTTCATTTTTCTAGCAAATTCTTTTTCTTGTGTTTAAGTATCAATCCAAAGATAGCTAAACAACCAGGCTAGTTCTCCACCACAGGCGCCGAGGAAGAAGTGGCGTGGAACGTCCTTCCCTGTTTTCTCAGCTCGACCTTTTCTGTTCATCCTTCAAAAGGCCATAGCTCCTCTTTGTAGAGCCCTCCCACTGGCAGCTGGGCCCAGCCCTCCTTTGTGCAGCCACTGGGCTTGATGGGGGGCAACTCCGAGGCAGGTGCCAGGCCACAAAATGCAGTCCCCTCTAATCCATCTGTGTGTCTCCCACCTCTGAACACAAAATGGCCAATTTGTACAGTGTTTGTTGAATAGAATTTGCTTTGCCTCCTGTTGCTGAAAGCTCTGGTGGTGTAGTTTGTACCAGGTTGTGCATTGACTAATTTCAGCAGCTCAAATTCACCAACCACTCCTTTGTAGATGGACGGAGACAAACATACACACATACATGCATGCACATTCACATACAGAGCTCCAGAAACTGACGGACTTCGGCTCACACACACACACACACACCCCTTCAGCAACTGATGGACTTCTGCTGTCACACGCCCCACCCTCAGAAACTGACAGAAGGCTGCTGTCACACACACACAAAAACATACACATACCCCTTCAGAAACTGACGAACTTCTGCTGACACACACACACATACACATACCCCTTCAGAAACTGATGGACTTCTGCTGTCACACACACACAAAAACACACACACACCCTTCAGAAACTGACGAACTTCTGCTGACACACACACACACACACACATACACACACCCCCTTCAGAAACTGATGGAAGGCTGCTGTCTTGATATCAGTAAGTTTGGTTGTGTATTTTAAAGTCTAACAGTTCTGAATTAAAATCTTGACTTTACGCTGTTTCTCCAGCTTTTGTGACTCTGACAACGTTCCTTAATCATCCCTGTAGCTCTAACTCCTTGTCTTGTTGAAGGGGAATGGGGATTCTATAAGAGAATGTTTGAGGATAGAAAAAGCTAATACAATGAAGCCTGACGTATAGTTGATGATCAATACATGTTAGTTCTTCTCTCTGTTCCCCTCCCTTGAACTTTCTGTCTATTAGTGCTCATGGATTTTTAACTGAATTGTTCACATTCTTTTTACCCCAAAATGTATCATTTCAAGACAAAAAAGATGGTAATGTGTGTCTTATTCCCTTAACACCTGCATAGATAAGTGTTAACTTTAGTTTACATACTCGTACTAAGTTATAACCAGAACAGTCATTGAAGATGATTTTTAAAAATACTTCCCAAATAAAGCGTTATCATTGAACACTAGTGTGATCTGAGAAATTACCTGAACAAAATCCTTCCTCAAGTTGTAAATTTTTACTTCATAATGAAAGCAGTGGGCGGGAAATGCAGAAATGGGTTTTTCCCAATGAACAGAGAGATTCATTCCTTCAGTCTTTGCTGTGACGTTCGTTGGAGGGTTGACTTGATCTAGGGTAGGGTATGAGAGATTGAGTTTTTTAAGAATCAGTAGTAATAAGTAATAAATCCAATCCCTCCACATTTCTCAACATATTTCTAGGGCAAGGTCATCTTAGGTTTACCACAGGTCTTAACCAGCTGATCTCCAAAGCTCAGGAAACCAGTGACCTGTAACATGACTTCTCTCTTGTAAGGCAAAAGGCGTCCTTCCTGTAACTTTTAAGGATTCAGAAACATAATTCCTTCCCCTATCAGCTCCTTTCTTAAAGAGCTTTCAAGTCTCCACCATTCAGTCCTTTTTGCATCTTGAGTTGGCCTAACCAAATTAACTGCCTTTGAGTGGAAGGCGAGTCTTGGAGACGCCAACTGTATTAAAGTAAAACTGTACACCACACACACAGTTTTCAGAAGTACATCAGCAAACTCTTCCAAGGAACCTCTGGGGGGGACTGAAATCTTCAACCTTTCTGTTAGCAGCCAAGTTTGTTAACGCTTCACTAGTGAAGTTCACCACGTGGGAACCGCAGCTGTACAGCCGTGGGCAGTGGCTTGCCCTGCAGCCTTTCATGCATTTTATGTCATGCCTTTTGTTATGGGGATCAAGTATAACACTTCAGTTGCCCCTTGAATTAAAAAAAAAAACACACAAACGTGATTTGGGATAATTTTGTGTTTCATTGTACCTCTGCTTCTTAGCCCTGAGGCCTCATTGCTTTCCATCAGGGCAGTGTGCAGTAGGCGGTAATCAACTGTGTTTTGAGTGAGCAGACTCCTCTTAGGTGATAGAACTGAACCCCCTGTGATGAACACACACTCACTCATTGCTGCATTGGAACCAACTCAGAGCTGACTCTCTAGCGACTTTTCTGAAGCTATAAATTGCACAGGAAGAGATTGCCCATGTTTCTCCCTTGGAGAAGCTGGTGGATTAGAACAGCATAACTCTAAAATTACTACTGACTGGTTTGTAGCCTGCCATTCCTGATGCAGAAAATTCTTAATTGAGGAATTATTTATTGTTGTTTTCCCTGGGAATTATCCTCAGTGAAATGAAAATCATGGGAGACAGTGAATCCTTTGTTCTGAGCCTGCTGTGTCTTTAATCCTAGGAATATGATTTTTCATACATCTCCCTCAGCATCTTTTATTGCCTGTTGGCATAAAAGTGACATTTTTAGGTCACTAAAATACAATATTGAAGAGAATTATGTAACCTCTTTTGTAAATGCTATAATATTTTAAAATTACACTCTATTTCATATCGACAGAAATACTTCATGAACTACATCGTGTCCTTTAGATCATAATCTTAGCATATTCATTGAAAACACGTGCCATCCCTGCTCTTCAGACTATGTGATTATTAACGTCGTTGATTCTTCCAGAAATCTCTTGGTGTTCCTGGAAGGCACCTCTGGTCACCACTGCACCCCCAGCGTGTCCTGCTGGTGTCTTGAGTGAGTTCCGTGCCCTGGTCCTCACGTGTGTTACGGAGTAGAACCTCATCACAATGTTTTTATTGGCTATAATAAATGGCTGGGGAAGATTGCTAATTCTTCCTTTTGTAGTTCCGTATAGTGGGTTTGAACCACCGTCTTTGGGTTGCCAGTCAGACACAAACCCATGAATCACCATTTTTCCAGGTTAGAAGCCTGAGGCAGCATGGGAGGCCAGCCTGTAGCAGGTCAGCCAGTAGTTGATGGAGGACCTAGAGTCCAAGTCAGCATGTCAGCTCAGCCCTCACCCCAGTAACCACACGGACACCCTGTCCTTGTTGGAGTCTAATCACCAATCCCTGAGAATGTTATCTGCCGAGTTTCCTTAACAGAAGTGTCTAGAATGAGGAAGAGCTTCTGGTTTTGTAATTGAGCATATTAAACCTGGAGTAGAACAGTTAGATGTGAGACGCATATGCTGAGGGAGACATGCGAAGGTCCACAGGGGACAGTGAGGCTGATGATGACAGAACACAAACAAGAACTGCGCACGAGGAACGAAAGGAAGTTCCCACCTGGATCTGGAGGCTGCAGGTCGAAGGCGTGTCAGGCAATCGAAGGAGACACTTGCTGAACCCCCTGGACAGGAGTGTCAGGAAGCCAGTCAGAGATGCTCCCAGACCGTGAGCTCCTCTGGGCAGCACCCCTCGTGTAGTCAGGCTCGCTCTGGGAGGAGGGGGTTTTCCCCCTCTAAGGGACATGTGGAAATACCTGGAGCCTGCGGCGTGCTGGCACTTGGTGGGTGGAGACCAGGGATCCGCTGAACTTTCAACAATGCACAGGACAGACTCCTTCACCCACAGCTAAGAAGTTCTGAGCTAGCCCCGATGTTGAGAAGGGAACCAGAGTTCTTGTTTGTGCTGTCATCATTCTCACTGTCTCCTCTGGACCTTCGAATGGCTCTCTCAGAGCATGAGTCTCTCATCTAAATATTCTACTCAAGGTTTAATATGCTCAATTATAAAAACAGAAGATACTCTTCTTTCTAGATGCTTCTAATAATGAAACTGGTACAGTACAGGTGTGTGCATAGCTACTAATTACAGGTTGGCAGTTTAAAGCCACAAGCAGACCTTGGGGGGATCAAACACCACCACCACCAGCCGATACTTTGCCTTCTAAAGGTCAGGCATTGAGAGTACAGTCATACTGTGCATCCCGCTGCCTCAGGATGGGATGTGGTCAGCGCAGACACAGCTGGTGTGGTGTGGTTAGGCTGTAGGCTGATGGGGCTTCACCCAGAGGAATTCCAGCTTAAGCCAGGTGGTCGCTGAGCATCAGAGAAATGGATTTGGTGACCTTTACAACTCCTTCCGAGCCCGAGGCCTAAAAGTCAGTGATGGCAAAGTTGGTGATATAAGCATGTCTTACCAATGGCATGAAGATCAAACAGTTGGTCAAAAGGTTTGATTGTAGCATGCCTGCTTGATCCATTAACATGCACTGCAAGCTTGTATTGCTCTTGGATATTGATAGGAGTCCTTGGAAACCAGCATCCAATATTCCTTTTCAGGGTGTCTCTACTGTATTCCTGACATTTTTCAGTCCAGGAGCCATACCTAAATTGGAACTTTCATAAGTTTTATCAGGCTGGAGGAAAGAACTCATTTGCATAAGGAAAAATAGGAACAAACCTGTAGTAGAGGAAATACTGTGTGTCCTCTGGGGCATCCTGGCCAGCAAGCCAGGAGCACTGCAGGGACACTGGGTATGGCCTGAAGTCCGGAGAATCACTTGCCACAGTGTTTGTGGTGCAGGTTAAATTCACAGCTGAGGTTCCAGGAGACCCTGCAAGTTCAAAAACAAAAAAGGTGGGGGAAAAACAGTGCACGTACTTTGTATGTCTTTTGAAACTGGGGGAAAAGCATTAGTCATTACCTGCTACAAACAGAAACCTACTCTTGCCTCTCTGAGTAGTGCAAGTGATTAAACACACAGCCACTAACTGAAAGGTTGGCAGATTGAACCCGCCCACAGGCACTTTGGGGAAAGACTGGCGATCTACGAAAGACTCTGAAAACTCTATGAGCCGAAGTTCTACTCTGCACACGACGAGGACGTCATGCTTGACGAGCAGAGGTCAGGAGAAAGGAGGAAGACCCTCGAGGAAAGGAGTTGGCTCTGTGGCTGTCCCAGGCCCAAACATGGCAGAATTGTGAGGGTGGGGCAAGAGTAGGCAGTGTCTTGTGCTCCAGGCAGGGCTGCTTGGAGTGGGAACGCAGCTAATGGCACTAAACAATTTTGAAAGGCCTAATTCACTTGGGAAACAAAAGTAGGGTTATAAAAGCTCTAGCTTCTGAGCTCAAAGAGTCTTCTAGCTACTAGAAGCTACTCTGGGAATTCTATGTGTGATGTTCATACGTGAAAGTAAGAAAAGCACCATGTATTTTCCTATTACGAAATCTTTGATGCTTGGGATGCAGTAACACTGATATTTTATTCATTCCCTAAATCATGGTATTACTAGTGGTTGTAAGGAACTTTGACTCTTACTAAATTTGGAGCTCATTTTCTCCAACTATCAGCAAGGTGATTGGCTTAGGAAGGTCTCCAACACTATATCCGTATCAGATGGTTCTTACATGTGTGTGCACATTTGTTCGTTAAAAGACTAGATGGTCCCCGTGTGTGTGTGTGTGTGTGTGTGTGTTTTCACTAAATGATTAGATGGTCCCTGTGTGTGTGTGTGTGTGTGTGTCTTTTCACTAAATGTTTAGATGGTCCCCGTGTGTGCACATGTCTATTCACTAAACGACTAGATGGTTCATGGCCAGGTGTGGTTTACAGTTCTTAAAGTTAGCTTTGTTGTCGCTAACTTCTAAGGAATCATTGTGTATGAATTCCATCTAGCTCAAGTTAGAAAGACTTAATTTTTATGAGTGTTAACCTGCACTGAAGTGCCCAGAGAACAATTAGAATTGCAGACATGTTGTGCTGGCAGGTACACTGCTCATTAAAGAGAGGAGGGAGGGGAGGTTAATAAACGGCACGTGACCAGCTGGTCTTGGGATCTCGTGTCTACTCTGGATGAGTAGCCACGTGGGGTTGAGGTCACTGTGAATTGGTGAGTGTGTAGTGTAGACAGCATGTAAGAACAGGAGCATAGTGAGGACAGTAGAAGACGTTTTTAAGGCATTCTCAGTTACTGGCACAATTCAGGAGGCAAGGTCTGCTCAAAAGAATGGCAAAAGGATGGTTTCAAAATTACCTATGAGCCAGGTCAGGGTCTGATGGCCTGCCACTCCTCGTGTGTGTGTGTGTGTGTGTGTGTACGCACGCAGATATGCATGCATGCACTCTACTGAATATTTGGAAATATCACCATTTTAAAGTATCAGAAACACTAACATTTTCCTGGCAAGTAATACAAAGATAGGTGATGATGTCCTCCTTCTGCAGGGCAGTTTGGTGGCTCAGAATCATGGGTCATAGAAGTAAAAGGTAAGAGTCACAAACAGCTACAAGAAAGCACGCTCTTGCTAAGTGCCATTGAGGGGGAGGTGACTCACAGCTGTTGGGAGACTGTAAATTGCAATGAAGGAGACTGCCCATCTTTTTCTCATGGAGCAGCTGGTGCCAACTATGTGCCTTTGAGTTGGCAGTGCAATTTCTTGCCCAGTAGGGTGCCCACCTCTGAAGTGTGTGATGATCAATGGTGTGAAGCATGCGGTAGTACTTTTACACGTAAGCACAACATTATATGGTTGGGATGACAATCTTTTTTTGAAAGATACTGTATTTTGAGTCCATGAATCCATCCCTTTGGCACAGAAAAGTGAGGTATTGTCAAGTCTGCTCTCACTCATAGTGATCCCCTAAATATCAGAGTAGAACTTCTCAAAAAGACACTTCCAGACCTGTCTTCCTTTGTGTCTCTAAAACTCCCATTGCAGTCCATATTTGTAGACGAGTCTGTGTAGGTAGAATTCTCTAAAGCTGTCATTTTATAGATGAGCCTCTGTCGATGGTGCTCTCTAAAGCTGTCCTCTTTGTAGATGAGTTTTTGTAGGTAATGCTCTAGAAAGCTGTATTCTATGTAAGTGAGTCTCTGTAGATGGTACTCTAGAAAGCTGTACTCTTTGTGAGGCTCTGTAGATGGTACTCTAGAAAGCTGTACTCTTTGTAGATAAGGTTACTATGTCTTTCTCCCCTTGAGTGCCTGAGGGGTTTAAATGGCCAACCTTTCGGTGAGAAGCCACAACCTTGATCACTGAGCAACCCTGTCCTGAGCTCCCTGGCCTGCTAGGCCCTGGCTTTAATCCTATTTGGGAACTGAGTTCTTGGTTATGATCGTTGTCTAGATGTAAGAAAGAACAAATTAGGTATAGGGGAGCAGACAGGTATTCAAGCAATCCTCTAGTCATTGAAGTACAAGGAGAGGAGGAGGAGGAGTTGGAGGATAGAGAACATGTGGCTAATTGCCTCCATTAACAATTGCTGCTTTTACCATGATCCTCCAGGAACTGAATGGTGACTGAATACCATTACTGAACATTTTTATCGAAGATTACTCATCAAAAGGGGGGGAAATGCAAGACCTAATTTCAAAAAGAAGTGATAGTTTTGAAATAATTTGAAACCTTCAGACAAAAATATCCCTTGAATTCTACTTGAAACCAAACAGCTTAGTTTTTAAAAAAGTCTAATTTGAGCATTATGCTCTTTGAAGAGTTACCTATAGGTGGTAATATAATAACTGAGTAGATGAGATAGGACCCTTGGGCAGCCGTGATCTGATGATGGAAGAGATAAAAGCAGAATGTGAGGATGGGAGTGCTTACACAGCCAAGAGAATGTAACCAAAGTTGCCAAGTGGTATAAAGGAACTATTGGATGGTGGATATTTTGCTGCATAAATTCTGAAGAACAGCAATAACAAAATAAATCATATTTTAATTCTATAAAAATTAGCATGCAGTCATGGGTGTTTGAGAAATGACGATAGTTATGGAAAGGCTTCAGGGTTTTTGTTCATAAGGTGGTTATGGGGAGTGCTCAACTTGATGGCAATCAACAGCTACAACAACATGGGTGTCAAGTGACGTGAAGACTGCTGAGGAACAGAGATCTCCCTTTCCCCAGAGCTGGCAAAGAGAGTCGGCCTTTCCTAAGAACTGGCACTCTGAATTCAAACTTCTAGCCTCCTAAACTGTGATTCCGAAAGATAACCACAGTAGAAATTGATGGCTTTGCACTGTAGTGTTGTCAAAGAGTACAGAACATCCCATGTTCTGCCAAAGAAGAAAAAGGTATGTCTGACAGGAAGTGCATATAGGGTGCTCTCTTGTGGCGGGGTGGCAAAGCTTCATCTCATGTAGGGCCTGCTGGCAGGTGGTCTAGTCCTCAGCAAAGGACCTCATGGAAAAAGTGAAGGGTCAGGTAAAGCACGGAAGACCCTCACCGACACGGTGACTGTAGCAACGGGCTCACACGTATCAGAGGTGGGGAGAGACGAGCAGGACAGGGAAGGGCTCAGAAGGGCTCTTCACGTCATTGCTGAGTCACTTTGACTCCACAGACCTAACAAGGAACTGAGAGGTTCTCGTGTGTTAAAGTCACCTATTTAGGGTATGCTCATTTTAGGAGCTCCGCGTAACTAAGAGAGTTGTTGTTAAGTGCCATCGAGTCATAAACGATTCATAACAACCCTATGAATGAAAGAGCTGAACACTTGTATAACTTTCATCCTTTCTCCACATTCATAGAGTTTCCAGAGGCAAGCTATTTCAGAAGTGGATGCCACTTCTTCTTCCAAGCTTGTTTTACTTGGGAAGCTCCAACAAACACCATCCGCCATGGGTAACCATTCTCACATTTGACACATCCGTGTCACAGTGTTTAGCATCACAGCAGCCACAAGTTGCCTCTGCACAAGAAAGTTAGGATGTTAATAATTAAGCAAGGTCACATGATATGTCCATATTGAAAAGCAGAAATATTTATGTCCAATTTTCCCCATCTGCAAACTCCAAGATCCAGAACTGGGCTTTGGAGAGGACAGCCTTACCCGGTGGGTCCTTCAGCTCTGCAGAGACCCAGCTGCTGTCGGGGAGGGAGGCCTTGTCCCAATAGATGGTCTGCACGCTCACCGAGAAGCCTTTGTGAAGGATGCTTATACACTGGCTTTCAGTGTCTCTGGTTTCATACTGAAAATAAATCCAGAATTCATGAAATGTGGGAGGGGCACAGCCTCAGTGAGAGAATGATTCAATCATACACACCTCTTCATCCACATCTTAAATGATACATAAATAAAATGCAATGAATAATTTTGCTAGACAAGAAGAAAGTCATTAGAATGATAGCATAGAGTCCTAGGACAGTGAAAAGACTGCGGGTCTTTGTCAGCTAACTGGACGGGTGTGAGGTTCAAATTCACCTAAACATGTCTTAGAAGAAGGTCCTGGCAGCCTAACCCTGAAAACTCAGTGGTTGAAATCCCATGGATGTGGCTTTGCGGGGTCGCATGGAGTCACACGTCAGAAACAAGGGGCCCACAGCAGCTTAGCCATACAACAGTTTCCTCAGTGATACAGGAGATGTTCTTCTAAAACCAACAGAATCTTACCATTATGACCCAAGGGCCCTTGAGAGACCACTTCTAATCTTCACGTGTCCCTTCCCTAGAGACACCTGTATGACGGCCAGTTCCCTAGAATTCAGTGCTAACCAAAGTCACCAGTCATCTCTCTAATCACCTCTCCTTTCATTCAACTTGACTGAGTACCTTTGGTGGCCCTAGTGGTAAGAAGCTGTCATTCTGAAGCCATATGGTTCGAATCCACCAGCTGCTCTGTGGGATAAGGATGGGCAATCTCTTCATGTGAGATTTACAGTCTCTGAAAACCACTGGAGGGTCAGCTATGAGTCTCCATGCTGTGTTCTGACTCCACGGCACACAACAACAACAATAAAAATAAACTGTGTCCTGGGCGTGTGGCCATGAATCTACAGCAGGTCCAAGGAGGAGGCTGGCAGAGGTGTTGGCCTGCTGAACCAAAGCTGTGTCCCACTATTACCAGCTGCTCCACAGGAGAAAGGCCTCTCCTGTGGGGGCGGGGTGGGGGGTAATGCAGCCTTGGGCACTGACAAGGCTCAGAGATGAGTCAGCTCCCTGGAGGAGGTTTGGGTTCTGGCTCTAAGTCTGAAGCTCTCAGAAGTGGTTGACTCACAGGTCATTCACGTAGAGAGTGGACTAACCCAGAATCCTGTTTTTGTCCCATGTACAAGTCTTCTCTTTTATCTACTTAAAAGGAATTAGAAAACCAATACCTAACCCACCAAGCTCCAAAAGTTACCGAATCTTTCTAAGTGACTCTTCACTTTGCTTCACCTTGCCTAGCCAGCTCCCGGCTCAGCCCCTCCCCAGACACAAGACCAAAGGGAACAAAGCCCCTTGAGTGTTTTCTGGTTTGATATGTTTTATTTTTTTTTAATAACTTAAAATGTTACTTGATAATGAAAATGCAGCCAGTGTGGATGCTGACTTCGCAAGGCCCACTGGATAAGCACTCACCTCATCTTCCTGGGGTGCGTTTATCCGCACCCTGTATCCAAGAGCAGCATCCCTTGGCCCTTGATGGGGATTGGGCTCCCACTGTAGCTGGATTTGTGCGAGGCCTGTTACTTTAGCAGTGAAATTTACCGGTGGGAGAAGTGCAACTGTTGATGACAGGAAAAAGCGAACACCACACTATTTGACTGTGCAAAGGCAAGACTTGAATATTTTCTTGTCTATTTTATCGTGGCCTTAGACCAGGAGGAGAGCTGGCAGAGGGGAACTGGAGGGCATGCATTAACTGCTGGGAGCCCCTAGCCTTAGGCCTGACATTCATACACATCACCTTCTCTGTGGAGAAAGAGGTGGCAGCACTCTGTGTCCTTAAACGATGGACAGCCTGGGAAACTGATGCCTCTGCTCTGCCCTGTAGGGTCTTTCTGAGTCAGAGTTACTGGTGGGTGGCAGGTCTGGAGTTTTGGTTTCTTAGAATGCTGGTTAAGTGGCTTGAACCCACCTAATGGCTCCATAAATACTTGGGCACGTGCCACATCCCACCTAAGCCAGAACCACTGTTGTGTGTTCAGTTCCACTCACGGCAACCAGGAACCGAGGCAGCTGTGCAGAGCTGTTTGCTCGGTCCTTGGTGTTGCTTTGAGTGGACATTGACTTGAGTTATATAACAACAATAACATAAAATAGCACAAAATGGAAATAATTTTAAGAGATGCACTAAAATTGCCTTTAAACTAATTTTCAGCCTTTCTTAGGTGTTTATCCATGATATCGGTATCTTCTTTATTGATATATGAATGTTCTATTATATCCTTATTTATTTTAATACTAGTTTTCAGATCAAGGCTTGTTCATTGATGGGACATGAAAACGTGTTGTTTCAGGTGCAGCTTTTTTGTTAGGATGTAGAAGAGAAGAGAATAGGAAATGCCAGGTTACAGCGAGACGACAACCTGCTTCAGCAGCCTCTGGTCTCCATTATACCAAGACACTTAGATTTGCTTACATCCTAGTTAACAGCGTATTTGTTTCTTATTAGGCTTCAGAGTCCAGAAAGATTATGAACAATACTACTTAAACAGGAATTTAGAGAATTTTTTTTCTGGTTTTCTTTAATGATTTACTCTGCTTTTGCTTCCAAAACAAAGGGGTTTAAGTCATTGGCTGTTCATTGCAGATATTTTGCCAAACACCATCCTCTCCTCTACACTCAATAAAATCCACTGCTTGGGAGCTTCAGAGGCCAGGAGGATAGTGAGGTGCACTGCCCGGACCAGAGGTTCATGGTTCAAGTCCCGCAGGAGGACTTGCCCCACAGGAGAAAGACAGGCACCTTCTCCCATGGGACTTATCGTTGGCCAGTCAGCTACGAGTGAGCTCCGACTCCCACTGGCAGTGAGTGGGTGGATAGTGACCCTGTGGGGACAGGCAGAAGGGCCACCGTTTCCAAGGCTGTCAGGGTTTGCTCACTGCTTTCTTCCCTCTTAGGAAGCAAAGATGTGCAGAATGAAGAAAAGAAAGCCCAAAATTTCAGCTTCCTATCTCTGAAAATTCCCTGAAAACCGACAAATTAAAACCTCTAAATCTCTTGCCGTCCTGTGATTTCAATGCACCGTGGCCTGTGGCTTTAGAGTTAAACTGAGTTGACATTGGAAGCAGCTTAGCGGGGTTTTCCACATGGCACTGTTGGCGGGGTCCCCACAGTCCAGCCAGCTCATAGCCACCACCCTCAAGTCGATTCTGACTCGCAGCAGGGCGAGCTGCCCACAGGGTTACCAGAGCTGCACTATTTACAGCAACAGGCTGCCACATTTTTCTCCCCTTGGTCAGACACCTTATTTTTCAGTGATTACCAAGTGCTTAACCACTACGCCTCCAGCTCTGCTGGGTCAGTGAGTAGAGTGCAAACTGTTTGAGCACCAGCGACCTTCAAAATGGCATTGTTATTATCTTTCCTTTCTTTTTTTCCTAGGCGTACATTAATACAACCTTTCATTTTTAAATAAAATCACAACAATACTGCGCACACAATCAGGAAGCCTCCGATGCGTTCCCTTGAGAAGTCATCAGCACTTCCCATCACCTTCCACAGCCCCCCAGCCTTCCTGTCATTTGGTGACATCCAGGCCCTTGTCCAGCCTACACTGCTCAGTGTGGCAGCCACTGGCCACACACAGCTTTTAAAATGAGTGTGAACGAAAGTGAAGTATTTATTACCTCAGTCACATTTGCCACATTTTAGGTATATAATAGTCAGGAGTGGAATCCACCTCCTAAATCACATGCCTATGGAAACTCTATGAACTTGGAGAAACGACAATAGTGATAGAAAGGCATTAGGCTTTTTGTTCATAGAGTCACTAAGAGTCCTGCTCAACTTGACGGCAATCAACAACAGTCACAAATGCGAGAGGCCATTGCATCATACAGCAGACGTAGAGCAAAGCTGTCATCACAGGAAGCACCGCCCACACTAGGTGAGGACACGTGGTGGCTTCCCCTCCTTAGACTCCTGTCTCACCAAACCCAGACTTCAGTATGTTGCTTTGTGAACAAAGTACAGTGGATGTCTCCTATTCTTAGTTCCTAAGATCTCTACATCTTTCCCCCATATGCAAAGATGTTCCACTTGTGGCTATTTTTTATCCTGGTTTATTTGGGAGTGCTGATGTACTCGCACTCAGGGGCAGATTCCCCTACAGCATAAAAATGCCTTTCAGCCAAATTTGCTTTCATGGAATACAATATCTTTACAGAGTTTTTATTCCAGTAAGAACAGTCTATTCCTTTAAGATCTGTATATAATTTCTTAATAGAGAGTTCATTTAGGGGAAGTTAAGTTATATTCTTTTTGTAACAAACATATATGTTGATATGAAATTATATATATAATATTTCCAGCAGCCAGGATATTAAAAGACTAATTGCATTGGGAAAGTCTGCTGTCAGAGACCTCTCCAAAGTACTGGAGGGTAACGATGTCAGTCTGGAGACTAAGGTGTACCTGATACAGGCCATGGTCTATGCAATTACTTGTTATGTATCAGAAAGCTGGATAATGACTAGGGATGATAGAAGGAGAAGTGATGCCTTTGAGCTGTGGTGCTGGAGAAGAGTGATGAATATGCCATGGACTGCTAGGAGAACAAACAAGTTCATCCTGGAGAGGGTGAAGCCAGGCTGCTCCTTGGAGGTAAGGATTGTGAAGCTTCGTCTGACATTCTTTGGACATGTTGTAAGGAGGGACCAGTCCTTGGAGAAGGACGTCATGCTTGGGAGGGTGGAGGGACAGTGCAGGAGAGGAAGACCCTTTATGAGATGGATTGATTTTGTGACTGGGGAAATGAGTGTAGGTGTCTCAGAGACAGTGAGATTGGCAAGGGATAGAGCAGGGTTTAGGGCTGTTGTTCATAGGGTCACTATGAGTTCCAGGAGACTTGGCAGCACAAAACAACAACAGCAACATATAGATATATTTTTTAAAAGTGAGATCCTTGAGTTAAACTGAAGTCACTTACAGGTTTTATCAGGAAGTAAGTCTGCTTGCAAGATCACCGTGGTTCTAAACAGAATCAGCAAGGCAGCTGCCATGATTGTCACACCTGCAGAAATGAGAGAGAACATTTGCAAATCCTCTTCTGTTGAAAGAAAACCAGACAACTACTTTCTAATATAAGATATAATTATTTGGCCATTTAACAGATTTATGAAATGTCTCTTGTGAGTTGGAAGCCAAATATGAATAAACCATGCACTTTGCCCTTACAAGGCAAAGCCACAGATGGAGGTGCAATTATTTATGATGAAAATAAATATAGCAATGTAGTGATTGCTCCATGGGAGTGTGAATGGGGCAGAGGAGGAGGAAAGAGAGTGAGGGGATTCCTCGGGTAAAGCTCTAGAGTCCCTGACACAGCAGCAGGAGAGGGTGTTCCTGGTGGAAGGCACGAGCATAGAGCTAGAGAGAGGAAAGGAAGTGCCATCAGCAAGGCAGAGGTGATTCCTTGCTGAGAGCGCCTCCATCCAATAGAGTTGAGCTGCCCTGTCAAGGCTCCAAGCCTTATGGCAGGCTATTGTTCTGTCTCTGCTTCCTAAATAGGGATTAGAGCAGATCTTTGAATAGTAATGTTCTCTCCCAGGTTACTGCTGGGATTTGAACCTCTGTCTCGAATACTGTGGGCATGGTGTCAGGAAGGCTCAGCCCTTGGAAAAGACAACATGCTTGGAAGGGTGGAGGGACAGTGCTCGAGAGGAAGACCTTGGGTGAGGTGGGTTGCTGTGACTGGAACTGACCCGATGGCAGTGGGTTTGGTTTTGTTTCAAGTTAGGCACAGCAATAAAACAGAAAATGACCACCACCACCATTGTCTTTGAGATTATTTAGATAGGAACCAATACTTGAATTTTTTTTAAAAAAATAATAATCTGAAACAATATGTAATGTGGGATGAAGAAAATCCGTGTCACCAAGCGGAGTGACCTGTGCTCCAAAGTCCAGGGTCTGAGGTGAGCCAGGAGTGGACATCTTGTTTTTCACAACAGTCACTCCTGATTTCTGGCCGATGCACATTATGCATGCCCACCTCCTGTCACTGGTCCTTACATGTGGCCAGGACATTAACCAGGTCTCAGTGGGGCTCCCCGACCCAAACTGGGAACAATGGCTGGCAAATTAATGTCAGAGAATCAGCCAGTACAAACTCTGTAAGTCACAGCAGGCTGTCACTTTGTGTGTAGGCCACAGTGGGTCCCTTTACGTGCAGGGTCATCCTGGGTCCCATGGGTGCCTTTTGTAACCATGGGTCCCTTTATGTGTGGGGTCACTGTGGGTGCCTTTGTTTCCCTTGGCAAAGGAGAGAGCTGGCGGTCTCTGGCTGAGAACTGTGGGGTAGAGATCTCGAGTGTTCTGCAAATTGTGCAAGTTCTTTTTTTATACACACTTCATTTCTTTCATCTCTCTGTGTGTGTCCTACTATGTCTCACATTCTCAGAAGGTTTCATTAAGAGGCACGTTACCAGCTGTGACCATCCAGTTTACAACGAAGCAAAGGACCACAGAGGTTAAACAATTGTGCAACCCCCCCATGATACATCTTCAAGGATATGAACATGTGCGGCCAAGCACAATCAATAAGAGTGCATCTAAATTCCAAAATCAATCTCCATAATAGTCTATGTGTTTCCTACTGCCAAAGGGGCCTTTAGAGTAGTGAGAGAAGATCTTCACCCTGAAACCCACAGCGTCCCTTTTCAGCAGGAAGTAGCTAAGAGAATGCGCCATCCCCTTTTCCTTATGAATCAGGGTGAAGTCTCTCTCAGGGAGGAGTGATAGGGAATGGCAAAGGACACACTGACAAAGGAGATTAATCAGAACTGGCTTTGACAAGCACTGTGGCAATTGGACAATTAAAACAGACATTCAGAGGGTGGGGGAAGAAGAACAAACTGGGGAGGAGGGTAGAGAGAATGGTGCAGCAATGAAGCAATGAAGGAATGAAAACCCAAAATCCCTGTAAATGTTTATTAAAACTAATAAAATTTAATAATTAAAAAAAAAACAATTGTTCAAAGACCAAATAACCAGTCAGAAAAGAAAAGGAATTTAATCCGACTTCGGGTCTCCTGACAGGGCACTGTTATGTCCTGGCAACTCAGTGGTGCTAACCTAAATGACAACATTATTGTTGTAGAAAAGCGTATTAAAATGACTTAGAATCTCCCAGTTTAACTCTGGGACCACAGAAGCCAGCGCCTATTAAGAAGGATGCCTTCAGAAAATAAGGTAACATATGCTTCGTTCATTCTTACTGCCCACCGTGGAAGTACTCAAGTGTCATCTCCAAGAAAGGGCAGAGGCCAAACCAGCGAGTCTTTTCTCAAACAAATGAAGTATCACTAACTGGAATGACCACACTTTTGATAAAAATCCCCTTATTTCTCTATGATGATGCTACACTAACAGAAAAAGCCTTTCTGAAATAACAAATGGCAGCAAAAGTAGAAATTCTATTTTTTTAAAAAAATGGTAAAGAGAAAATGTCAATGAGTTAAAGAGGCAACATTAATAATGGACCCAGTTAAAAAAAATTAATAAAAGTCAAAAACCCCTCCAACAACAACCACCAAATAGTTTCCTGCAGGAGGATGTTGGGAGTGTGATGTCTTCGATGTTGGCATTTTCTGAAATGACACGAACTGTAAGCTTGCACAATTCAAAGTTGATACAGATAGAGATGATATAGCTATAGCTATAGCTATAGCTATAGATATAGATATATATTTACTGACTGGTAAATAAACACTATGTTAGAACCATCTTTGTAAAATGACTAAACATCCATTTGTCCTCTGTATTTAAATTACTGAGTTAAATGCTAAGAGTTTCGGGTATCTCAGTGGAAGAATCACTGAGTATTTTACTTAACCAGGCCCATTACCTAGGTCTATGAAGTATTCTGATTTGATAGATGCTGAAAAGAGAATTCTTTTTCAAATTAACTATTCTGAACTTTGTTGATTATTCATTTTATGAATGAAATAACTTTACCCTTTTTTCCACTTCTTGTTGCAATATTTTCTGTTCAAGAATTAGCTTTGAACAAAAAGCAATTGTCCTACATGCAATGTAAGATACTCAAACAGGAGTTTGGAAGTAATGCTACAGGTCTAACTAAGCCACACTGGTATGGCTGTCGGAGGGTGGGGGGGGGAGCGGGGCGGGAGGAGAGAGGAGAGAATGTGTTTGAGTCCGTCAGAAGAATTCCATTCATGTTTGTTGCCTCTGTCCCATGTTTTCTGGGATTGTTGTGTTCACTCTCTTCTCTGTTCTCTGAATGTATGTCCAACCTGGGTCTACAACTCATTAACATGCCCTATCCCTGGACCGGCAGTTACCTTAACTGGAACTCCAAATCTTTGGGACATCCTTCATTGCAAATGTAATACATTATTTCTAGTTATCAATGGCATACTGTTTTAAAGCACAGGAATTGAGCTACTTTCCGAGCCCAAAGCTGTGTCCTAGTCCCCCTCCTCCCCACAAGTACAGTTAATGTCCAGAAGAAAACCGGTGCATTGTGAAGACAAGATTCAGTGGACGCAGGTGAGGCAGCATGTGTTGCCTGCAGATTGGATTTCTGAGGAGGTCATGAACACTCCTTCAGAAAATTACTCAATCGAAAATTCCTCGAGTGCTTGTCACTTCTGGTAGGGGTTCTTGTCTTTGACATCTGAGAGAAAGTGTGACACTTTTTCTTGCACCCAAATAGCATTAGATGTTAATTGGGTCAAGTTTTGACCTTGGTGATGTATTTCCCCCTGTGTTCCCGAGAACTGATCAAATTCTACTGAACTTCACACTTAGTAATATAAGTATTTTCCCCTTCAAACCTACTTTTCTGACTGTGTTTCAGAGTTCTTCTGAGTCAGCTGTGGTGGCACTTACTTCCAGACTCAGACCTCAGTGGACAGAAGGTGAGAAGCATGAGGCAGGATGCACGCTCTCTTTGCCTTCTCTCTCCACCACCCTTAAACAGTTCCCTTTTCACTTCCTCCCCCTCAGTGAGATGGATCGACAACACAGAGACTACAACGATGGTGCTCGTATATCAGAGCCGGCAAAGAGGGCTCTGCACAGGGTGGGACACAGAGCTGTCGTTTTTGGGGTCGCTATGAGTCATAGTTTACCTGATGACACCTGACAATAGCTGCAGCAGCGTGTTACTATATATTGTATTCTGCAATTAAAAACGCTATAGGCCATAAACAAACCCAGGTGTAAAATGAAAGTTACACAGTTAGCTGGGTAAATAGCATCACTCTCAAGTGAACAAATGCACATGCGTCCCAAAACATACGTGAGTGCTTTGTCTCTTTCTCACGTGTTGGCTCTGACTCCCAGCAGAACTTTCCAAAGCTGTAAACGGCCTATCCCTCCTGCAGAGCCGTGGGTGCGTGTGCACCACAGGGGAGTGTGGGCTTCGGCTCAGCAGTGTGACATTTCACACACTGTGACACCAGAGCCCCTGAAGGAGCAGGAAAGACCACTTAAAAAATATTGCACTTTTTTTTTGTTCATTTGATCATTTTTAGCACTATTGAGCTTTTGAAAAAAATTGTGTGAAACATTCCAAAAATAGAACTCAGGGGTTTGAAATGTTGTCATAGACGTGAAACACTCTGTCGCCTAGCTGGACACAGAGTCGCCACACCAAATCTTTGAAAACTGGATGAGTAAGGTGTTTCTAGGTCCACTCTGATAATTTAAGGTCTTGCTCACCACAGTAGTGTGATTTAGCGTCCAGTAGCGACCCCACCCTCAGTCTTACCTGGACACCCAGGATTCTGTGCAGTCTGATGAGGACTCGGCAGCAGACGGCCAGGGCCAAGCTCCATTCACGTCTGCAGCACCAGTCTCTAGCAGCTGGCCGCGCTAGGCGCTCCTGCCCTGAGCAGAATCAACGTGAATCAGCACGCTGTTCTTGACAACACACTCCACTTGGTGTCAAACCCCGCAAAGGGACAAGCGAGGCCAGTGAGTGTGTGAGAAGCCCGGCCTGTTTGCTGGAAGGGATGACACGTTTGAAATCTTGCCTTAAAAGTT